CCCAGGTCTCTGCAGTCTGGGGAAACATACCCACCTGGGCACTGCACGTCCCCCAGTACCCCAAAGGAGGCTGGCCCTGAGGCGGGGCTGGGTGGGGGTGCATGTTGTCAGCGCCCGGGGCAGACCCGCCCTGTACAGTAATTCTCCTCGCGCTGCCAGTAATTGCCCTGACTTTCAGGGCAGGCATCATTTCCTGAAAGTCAGCCCGGGCCTTAGAGGAAGTAGGCGCCGGCAGCTGTGACTAAACCGACATGCAAATGCAGCCGGGCTGAGAGCCGCCCCCGTCCGCCCCAATGCTGGGGCTGCCGCCGCGGTCATGAGGGAGCCGCTCCCGGGCGGCGCTTCCAGGGGGACCCCCGGACCCCCGAGCGCCGGGACCATGTCCCAGCTGCAGTTCTGGCTGCAGTTCGAGGCTCTGAACAAGGTAACACTCCCCTCCCGGGGTGGGCGAGGCCCTTGGGGGCAGGGGTCTGGGAGGTGGGACCCCCATTCAGGGCGGCCGGGCCACCTGCCGGAGCAGCTGGAATCTCACCCTGGAGTCCGAGGCCGCCAGGCTCTCAAAAATCCCCATCCCGCCCCGTCCGTCTCTTCTGGCAGCGAGAGGGAATCTGCCGGAAGGTTCCGAGGCAGAGATTTAGGACTTGGGGCTGGGAGCAGCGCCCTGTGCGTAGGCTGGGGGACTCGAGCAGAGTGGGGGACTCGGGCTCAGCCCAGATCCGGCCCTCGGTGACAGTGGCATTGGCTGTCGGGAGGGCTGCATCCCCCTCCTTCTGCCCCTGGGATAGGGCCCCCTGGCTGTCCTCTAGAGAAGCCTCAGGTGGAGGGGCTCTGGGTGTCTCATGGGGCCTTCACAGGGAGTGGGGGCTGGGTGGGCCTGGTCAGGGCTGACTCTGGTGGCGCAGGCGGGCAAATCCCTGTGGCTCTGTGGTTCCCCATGGGTCCTGGAGCACAGGACGGGGGCAGCACACCAGGTCTGGAGTCAGTTCTGGAGTCAGGTCTGGAGTTGGCTGCCCAGGGCAGGAGGAGCTGTGTTTGCTGCTCTTGAATGGGGCAGAGCCAGGTCTTGCCAGCTTCAACCCAGGGCTCCTGAAATGCTGCAGAGACAAGAACCACAGCAGGCAGCCCCGGCCCTCCCTGGGGCCCCAGAATTGGGCGCTGGCGGTGAGGGGTGCAAATGTCACCTCCGAGGAGCCTTGGTGCAGACTACAAAGGGGCCCAGGTTCCCCGGGGAGGCACTAGGTCCGCTGAGCTGAGGCTGGAGTGTGGGGGGGGGGCATGTGGTGGAGAATGCAGCAGCCTAGGCTGGCCTGGAGGGGCCATGGAGGGACACACAGGCACGGGTGGAACTTGGGCTGTTTCTGAGGTCAGCTGGTGGCTGCTAGGAGTCAAATCCAGATGTGGGCAGAGGACGGAGTCACTATGAGGGGAGCTGGCCTGGCTCCGTTCAGCTTCCCACATGTGAACAGGGCCAGCCCTGGGAGCCCTGTGTCCTCTGTCCCTAATCACTGAGGGCACCTGCTAAAGGTGAAGGCTTGGAGGGCTCATGCACCTGGCTGGATGTCCTGTGCTGGGAAGGACCGGACGGGGAGCAGGGCAGGGCCTTGAGGCTGCGTTCTTGGAGCCTGAAAGCTGCAAGCACCCACTCATTATTAGACTTCCACTTTTATTTGTTTATTTTTTGGGGAACAGGGACTTTTTCTATCACCGAGGCTGGTGTGCAGTGGTACCATCTTGGCTCCCTGCAACCTCCACCGAATGGGTTCAAGCAATCCTCCCATCTCAGCCTCCTGAGTAGCTGGGACTACAGGCACATGCTACCATGCCCAGCTAATTTTTATATTTTTTGTGGAGATGGGGTCTTGCTGTGTGGTTCAGGCTGGTCTTGAACTCCTGGGCTCAAGTGATCCTTTCACCTTGGCTCCTCTAGGATTACAGGTGTGAGCCACTACGTCCTGCTCGACTTGACTATTTTTTTTTTGAGATAGGGTCTCGCTCTGTCTCCCAGGCTGGCATGGGGAGGCGCAATTATAGCTCACTGCAGCCTCGACCACCTGGGCTCAAGCAATCCTCCTGCCTCAGCCTCCTGAGTAGCAGATGTGAGCCACCACGCCCAACTTGACTTTAACTTTTCAAACTGTTTTAGAGTGACAGAAAAGCTGCCGGGACAGTGCAGATTCCCCACGCCCCCACTCCCGGGCTCCCTGCTGTTCTGTCTCTCGTCTGTGGCTGTCACGGCTGATGAACCAACATCCATACGCCACCGTTAACTACCGAGGCCCACGCTTTGCTTAGATTTCCTCAGTTTCCCCCATGTCCTTTCCTGCCCGGGGCCCCACGTGGTGTTTAGGCATCTTCTCAGGCCCCTCTGGGCTGTGACGGTTTCTCAGAGGCCTGTGTTTCAGAGGCATTGGGTGGTCCTGTGGCTGGTCAGGTGGTGTGGACACCCTGAAGTAATCGGGCAGGTGTTTCCTCAGACTGGGGTAGGAGTTTTGGGAGGAGGACCTTGGGCGGGAGGGCCCTGTTGTCCTGTCTTCTTGTGCAGAGGGCACCTGGTGAGGGCATGGGGCAGGTGTCTCTGCCTGAGGTCCCTTCCCTCTTTCCACGCTGAGCTCTGGGGAAGGACTTGCTGTGTGGCCCACGCATTTGGGTCAGGGGAGCTCCCCTCCGCTCTGCCTGCGCTCCCTGCACCACCAAGGCCTGGGCTGCTCTGGGCCCGATAGCAACTCACTCCTGCTCCTGGCTGGGGCCTCGACCACCCAGGGGCCCCTGACCTCGCCCAGGAAATGCTTCCACGGAGGGTCCAGGCCACAGGTCAGCGTTATCAGGTCCCCTGCAGCCTGGGTAGGCGGTGTTCAGAGGGCCCTTGTGGGGCTCAGTAGGGGAACTGCTCCCCAACCCTGCCGATCGGGGCCTCCAGAGGCTCTGGGAGGTGGGCTGCACCCTACCTGGCCCGGGGCCTTAGGCGGGCAGCATGAACACCTCTGTGCTGGGGGGTGCTGTGGGGTCTCTGTTTGGGGGCAGGTTCCTGAATGTCCCTAGTATCAGTACCCGGGTGCTTGGGTCTGACAGGGTGGGCAGTGGGCAAAGCTGAGCAAGGTGAGGGGGATGGAGCTCACAGCTCCCAGGGAGAGACAGCGCCCCCTCGACATGCCTGATTTTTTTCTTTGTTTTTCTTGAGATGGAGTCTCGCTCTGTTGCCCTGGCTGGAGTGCAGTGGCGCAATCTCAGCCCACTGCAACCTCCGCTTCCTAGGTTCAAGCGATTCTCCTGCCTCAGCCTCCCGAGTAGCTGGGATTGCAGGCACCCACCACTATGCCCAGCTAATATTTGTGTTTTTTGTAAAGACAGGGTTTTACCACATTGGTCAGGCTGGTCTTGAACTCCTGACCTCAGGTGATCTGCCCACCTTGGCTTCTCAGAGTGCTGGGATTACAGGCGTGAGCCACCACACCCAGCTAATTTTTGTATTTTTAGTAGAAATGGGGTTTCGCCGTATTGTCCAGGCTGATCTTGAACTCCTGGGCTCAAACGATCTTCCGCCTTGGCCTCCAAGTGCTGGGATTACAGGCGTGAGACATCATATGTGGCTGGGCATGGTGGCTCACGCCTGTAATCCCAGCACTTTGGGAGGCCAAGGTGGACGGATCACTTGAGACCAGGAGTTCAAGACCAGCCTGACCAACATGGAGAAACTCCATCTCTACTAAAAATACAAAATTAGGCCAGGCAAGGTGGCTCATGCCTGTAATCCTAGCACTTTGGGAGGCCGAGGCAGGTGGATCACCTGAGGTCAGGAGTTTCAGACCAGCCTGGCCAACATGGTGAAACCCGGTCTCTACTAAAAATACAAAACTGGGCTGGGCATGGTGGCACATGCCTGTAATCCCAGTTACTTGGGAGGTTCAGGCAGGAGAATTGCTTGACCCTGGGAGGTGGAGGGTGCAGTGAGCCGAGATTGTGCCACTGCACTCCAGTCTGGGCGAGAGAGCAGGACTCTGTCTCAAAAAATAAATAAATAAATACATAAATAAATGCATAAATAAAAATTCAAAATTAGCTGGCATGGGGGTGCACGCCTGTAAACCCAGCTACTCGGGACGCTGAGGCAGGAGAATCGCTTGAACTGAGGAGGCGGAGGTTGCAGTGAGACGAGATTGTGCCACTGCCCTTCAGCCCCGGCGACAATGCAAGACTCTGTCTCAAAAAAAAAGAAATGATGCACATGCATCTCCTCTACTGGGCAGTGCGTGTGTGCGCGTCATCCCCATAGCGAGCCCTGCCTCTGGGCATGGCTGCCCCCCACACAGGGCATGGCACCAGGCTTACCCCAGCCTGGAGCTGCTCAGAGTTCCTGCAAAATCGCTGCCCTTCAGGTGCTGCAGAAGTCGGACGCCGTCCCACATGGCCCCGAGGGCTGGTGTTTCTCACCCATTGCTTATTTCTTTTTTTATTCTTTGAGACGGAGTCTCACTCTCCTGCTCTGTCATATGGTGGCTCAGGCCTGTAATCCCAACACTTTTGGATGCCGAGGCAGGCAGATCACTTGAGGTCAGGAGTTCAAAACCAGGCTGGCCAACGTGGTGAAACCCTGTCTCTAGTAAAAATACAAAAAAATTAGCCAGGCATGGTGTCACACACCTGTAATCCCAGCTTCTTGGGAGGACGAAGCAGGAAAATTGCTTGAACGCGGGAGGGCTGCGATGTCTCTCGTCCCTACGTGCTCCAGTGCGTGGAGGGGCCATGGCGTCTCCCGTCCCCACGTGCTCCAGTGTGTGGGGGGGCCATGGCGTCTCCCGTCCCCACATGCTCCAGTGTGTGGGGGGGCCGTGGTGTCTCCGGTCCCCACGTGCTCCAGTGCGTGGAGGGGCCGTGGCGTCTCCGTCCCCACCTGCTCCAGTGCGTGGAGGGGCCGTGGCGTCTCCCGTCCCCACGTGCTCCAGTGTGTGGAGGGCTGTGGTGTCTCCTGTACCCCACTCACCAGGCCTGGCCTTGTCTTTCAGGATTCCTCGTATTTTGAGGACTTCTCCAACATCTCCATCTTCTCCTCGTCTGTGGACTCCCTGTCGGACATCGTGGACACGCCCGACTTCCTGCCGGCCGACAGCCTCAACCAGGTGTCCACCATCTGGGATGAGAACCCTGCCCCCTCCACCCACGACAAGGTCAGTGCACCCGGCGCCCCCCGACAGCCCCAACTCACCAGCATGGCCTCCCCAGCCCAAGACCCACAGGGTCCAGCGAGGTCTCAGTCTCCCCTACTCTGAGTGCTGCTGGCTGTCCTGTCACTGTCGGCTCCGTCCATGGCCATGGCCATGGATGAAGTGGTTAGGTGAGGGTCCTCTCATGTCCTGAATAGGAGGAGGCAATGTCCAGGACATCTGTGGCTACCACATCTTGGGGGGGCTCCTGGCATGGAGGTGAGGGGGGCCAGGACGCTGCCCAGCGCCCTGCAATGCCCAGTATGGCCCCACCCACGAGGGACCCGGCCCCACGTCCACCGCACCGGGGAGTCTCTGGTCTAGAGAAGCACAGGAAGGTGACAGGACAGAGAAGCGTGGTCAGGGAGGGCCCCCTGGAGAGGCAGTACCCAGCGGGCCCAGGCAACGTGGTTGTCCAGGCAGAGGAACAGCACCTGTGGTGGCTGCCAGCCCCATGGTGCCCTGGGTCAGCAGTGGCCGTGTCCCCGCTAGGTGGGAGCTGAGAGGGCGAGGTTGGCGGAATCCTGTCCCAGGGTGGGGAGTTGGACGTTATCCTGGGGGGCTGAGGGGCTGGGGTTTGCCTCCGAGAAGGTCCTGGAGGACCTCGGTGGGTCAGGCCTAGAGCAGGGGTTATAGAGCAGCAGGGCCCCCAGGTTCTTCGGGCCCAGCCTCTAGCCGTGCTCAGACCACACAGTGGAGGTGTCCTGTGAGGGAGGCGTGGCTGGGAGGCAGGCCTGGGGAGTCCCTTCCCCCATCCAGGCCTGTCCAGGTGAGAAACTTCTAGACTTTGGGAGCAGACGTTGGACGTATGTCTGGGGCTGAGCGCCTTCCGGTGAGGGCCCACACCGGCCTCCCCACGCTCCCGGCACGCTGGTGGGCTCACACCCATAGGCCGCTCTCCCCGGCCCTCAGGAAGGGTGCAACCCAGGCAGCAGAACTCACGGGCTTGGGGGCCAGGACAGGAAGCATCAGAGCACCCCGCAGCTACGGTAGGCAGCTCAGGCTGGTCCCTCTGGGGCACTTCACCCAGCCTGGGGCCCATTCCCTCCCAGCTAGCTCACAGGTCCTCGGCAGGGCAGGAGGAAAGAAACCAGCGCCTGACCGGCCTGCTGTGGACGGCAGGAGGACATCTGAAACCCAACGCCCCGCCAGCCCCACCAGGAATGGTGACTCAGCCTTCCAGGAACCCGTGTGGCATCTGTTTGTTTGTGTTTTGTTAATTTAAAAAAAAAAAAGGAGAGGGGAACTGAGTAGAGGTTTCTAACCTTCCTGTGCCACGCTTCCACTTTCTTTGAAAACCTTCACGAGTGTTCCTAGTGTTAGAAAACGCAGAAGCTGGCCGGGCGTGGTGGCTCAAGCCTGTAATCCCAGCACTTTGGGAGGCCGAGACGGGTGGATCACGAGGTCAGGAGATCGAGACCATCCTGGCTAACACGGTGAAACCCCGTCTCTACTAAAAAAAATACAAAAAACTAGCCGGGCGCGGTAGCGGGCGCCTGTAGTCCCAGCTACTCGGGAGGCTGAGGCAGGAGAATGTCGGGAACCCGGGAGGCGGAGCCTGCAGTGAGCTGAGATCCGGCCACTGCACTCCAGCCTGGGCAACAGAGCGAGACTCCGTCTCAAAAAAAAAAGAAAAAAAAGAAAACGCAGGAGCTGTGGAAGTCAGTTCATGAACATCACTAGCTATGTGGTTCCCACACACTGCTGAGAACCTGGCCCAGGCTCAGGCAGGCTTGGGCAGAAACCTCACCCGTCTCAGGATGTTGAGGTTGAAGTGGGGGACCAGGCCTAGAAGAGGTTCTCTTTTTTATTTATTTATTTATTGTTTGAGACAGGATCTCACTCTGTCACCCAGGCTGGAGTACAGTGGCGCAATCTCAGCCCCTTTCAGCCTCGACCTTCTGGGCTTAAGCGATCCTCCTGCCTCAGCCTCACAAAAGTAGCTGGGACCACAGGCATGCGATACCACGCCCGACTAATTTTTGTATTTTTTGTAGAGACAGGGTTTTGCCATGTTGCCTAAGCTGGTCTGGAACCCTGACCTCAAAAGATCTCGCCCTTTCTGCCTCTGTCTCCCGCCGTGCTGGGATTATAGGCCTGAGCCATGCACCCGGCCTGGATTCTCCCCTTTCCAATTCTCTGCACTCACTGTTTTTTGTGTTTTTTTTTTTTTTTTTTTTTGAGACAGAGTCTCACTCCGTCGCCCAGGCTGGAGTGCTGTGGCCAGATCTCAGCTCACTGCAAGCTCCGCCTCCCAGGTTTACGCCATTCTCCTGCCTCAGCCTCCCGAGTAGCTGGGACTACAGGTGCCCGCCACCTCGCCCGGCTAGTTTTTTGTATTTTTTAGTAGAGACGGGGTTTCACCATGTTAGCCAGGATGGTCTCGATCTTCTGACCTCGTGATCTGCCCGTCTCGGCCTCCCAAAGTGCTGGGATTACAGGCTTGAGCCACCGCGCCCAGCCTTTTTTTATTTTTTTGAGATAGAGTCTCGCTCTTGTTGTCCAGGCTGGAGGGCAATGGCACGATTTCAGCTCACTGTAACCTCTGCCTCCTGGGTTCAAGTGATTCTCTTGCCTCAGCCTCCCTAGTAGCTGGGATTACAGGCATACGCCACCACGTCCAGCTAATTTTGTACTTTTAGTAGAGATGAGGTTTCTCCATGTTGGTCAGGCTGGTCTTGAATTCCCGACCTCAGGTGATAAACTCAGCCTCCCAAAGTGCTGGAATTACAAGCACCCACCACCATGCCTGGCTAATTTTTTGTATTTTTTGTTTCACCATGTTAGCCAGGATGGTCTCGATCTCCTGACCTCGTGATCCACCACCTCGACCTCCCAAGGTGCTGGGATTACAGGCGTGAGCCACCATGCCCGGCTAATTTTTTTTTTTTGCTATCGTTAGTAGAGAGAGGGTATCAGCACGTTGGCCAGGCTGGTCTTGAAATCCTGACCTCCACTCTGGGAGGACTTGGCTTCCTGAAGTGCTGGGATTTACAGGCATGAGCCACTCTACCCTGCCCACACTCACATTTTTTATGGCTCACATTACCGTTAGGATTTTTGCTTTTTAAGAGTGGGTAGGCCGGGCGAGGTGGCTCAAGCCTGTAATCCCAGCACTTTGGGAGGCCGAGACCGGTGGATCACGAGGTCAGGAGATCGAGACCATCCTGGCTAACACGGTGAAACCCCATCTCTACTAAAAAATACAAAAAACTAGCTGGGCGAGGTGGCGGGCGCCTGTAGTCCCAGCTACACGGGAGGCTGAGGCAGGAGAATGGCGTAAACCTGGGAGGCGGAGCTTGCAGTGAGCTGAGATCCGGCCACTGCACTCCAGCCCAGGCGACAGAGCAAGACTCCGTCTCAAAAAATAAAAAAAGAGTGGGTATATTCCAGAATCACACAGACCCTAGTTTGGACCCTGCCACGCCCCAGCCATCCGTCCCGGGGTCCACCCTGTCTCAGTGTTGGGGTTTGGACAGCGAGCCTGACAGGCCACACCACCCTCTGACCCGCCCGTTCACAGGCTTTACATGCCCAGTCAGTTCGGAGATCCCAGGGTGGGCTGTGGACTCATCCAGAGGCCCGGCACACCTGGCTGCCCAGGCCTGGGGTCAGCTCCCCGAGGACAGTGCCAACTGCCCATCCTGGTGAATCTGCATGAGGCTGCGGGCAGTCTTTCTCCCCAGGGGGGGCCACAATGGGACGTGTCCTCTGGTCACCACAGTGGCGGGCGTCCTCCCCCATCCCTCACAGGGGAGCTGCTGTCCTCCAGAGGCCGCAGGGATTGCACCCACGGGGGTCCTTAGGGAGTGCAGGGCGACCCTGGGCTACCCACCCTGGGTGCTGGGAGCCATCGGGTGAGGGACAAGGCCCAGGCCCGCCCACCTCCACTGCCTCTGTCTCCTCTTCCCCCTTAACATGGAGCTCCCAACCCCTTGTCCCCCAGACCCGAGGGCCTCCTGCACTGCACACAGTGGGTCACTCCCATCAGACCCCCATCCACAGCCTTCCCGCCAGCTCCCGCGGGACCAAGCTCTGCTGTCTTGTCAGAACTAGCCGGGCACCTCCCGGGCACTCCAGGCAGGCAAACCAGGCGTCAGTGGGAACGCAGCCAGGTGCTGGCCAAGAGGAGCGAGCCTTAGGCCCCAGGGAGGTGCCCACTGGGGAGGCTTGGGAGGCACCAGGGTCACCTTGAGAACAGCAGGAGAGCAAGACCCAGGGTCCTGGGGAGCGAGGACGGGGCAGTGGGGAGCCTCCTCTGGTTGCCAGGCTGCGAGGGCCCGCCAGCTGTGACCTGTCCTGTCTGGCCTGGGCCGACATCCTGCTCCCCTTCCAGCTGTTCCAGCTCAGCAGACCATTTGCAGGCTTCGAGGACTTTCTGCCCTCCCACAGCACCCCGCTTCTCGTCAGCTACCAGGTGAGCTGGGCCCCGCCGAGGGCTCCCTCCCCTGCCCTCTCATGGGACCTAAGGAGAGGGCTCAGCACAGGCACCTCCAGTATGGGGAGCCCTTGGCCAGCCTAGAATCTGGGAGTGCAGAGGAGACATCTGAGGAGACAGAGGCCCTGGGGAGCACCTTGCTACAGGGGCAGACAGAGCCATCTCCCCCGCCGGGAGCCATCTCCCACTCAGCTGCCCATGGTCAGCCTGGCCCCTGCCCCGGGGAGCCCAGTGCCCACAGCTGCTCGGGCCTGCAGTCTGCTGAGCTCCCTCCACGCACGTAGGAGCAGAGTGTGCAGAGCCAGCCAGAGGAGGAGGACGAGGCTGAGGAGGAGGAGGCGGAGGAGCTGGGGCACACGGAGACCTACGCTGACTACGTGCCGTCCAAGTGTGAGTGGCCCGGCTGCACCTGGCCCTGGGACAGGTTCACATCCTTTTGTGGGACTGAAACCCTGCAGGTGACCACCGCCCGCACAGCCCACAGCGGGAATGTAAAGTTTCAGGGAGGACCGGAGAACCCTGCGGACAGGTTCTACAATCCAGGCTTATACAAAACCGGGGTTCACAGCGGGGAGAAGTGAGAAGGAACCTCAGAGGCACTGGGAGGATTTTCATGCATTTGCCCCTCCTGCAAGCCGCTGGCCACGTCCCCAACCAACCCAGCAGGCTGTGGCCGCCCCGACCCAGCCCACCCTGACCACGCCTCCACCCAGGCATTCCTGGCCACTCCCTTGACCTGCCCAGCAAGTCCTGGCCATGCCCCCAAACTGCCCCGCCAGCTCTGGCCATGCCCCGGACCCACCCAGCCGGCCATAACCGGCCCTGGTCGCCCCTTGGCCACACCCTTATTTACCTTGCGTCCATCCCTGCCCCTCCAGCCAAGATTGGGAAGCAGCACCCAGACCGCGTGGTGGAGACCAGCACGCTGTCCAGCGTTCCGCCCCCAGACATCACCTACACCTTGGCCCTGCCCTCGGACAGCGGGGCCCTGTCTGCCCTGCAGTTAGAGGCTATCACCTACGCCTGCCAGGTGACTGCGTGTCCCCACCCCAGCCCAGCCTGTGTCTGCGAGGCCCCTGGGGAGGAGCCGGGCCGGCACCCCCAGGCCCTGATGTTTGCCCTCCGGCCACAGCAACACGAGGTCCTGCTCCCCAGTGGGCAGCGCGCCGGCTTTCTCATCGGTGACGGGGCCGGCGTGGGCAAAGGCCGGACGGTAGCCGGAGTCATCCTGGAGAACCACCTGCGTGGCCGGAAGAAGGCATTGTGGTGAGATCCTGCCTGGGGTGGGGGGCGGGAGCAGGGGTGAGGGGGAGTGGGAGCAGGGGGGAGGGGGAGGGGTGGGCACCCCTGACGCCCCCACCCTGCAGGTTCAGCGTCTCCAACGACCTCAAATACGACGCAGAGCGCGACCTGCGGGACATCGAAGCCACGGGTATCGCGGTGCACGCACTCAGCAAGGTAGGGGCTGTGCTCGGCAGAGTAGGGGGCAAGGTGGGTCAGTGGGGGCCGCTCAACTGGGTGGGCCGGCAACCGGGACAGGCTCTGCTTAGCACCTCATACAGATAGGGAGACCCAGACCAGGTCCAGAGCCTGCTGAGCTAGGGCCCCATCCCACACCTGCTCTGTGCATCCCCAGATCAAGTACGGAGACACCACTACCTCAGAGGGCGTCCTCTTCGCCACCTACTCCGCCCTGATTGGGGAGAGCCAGGCCGGTGGCCAGCACCGCACACGCCTCCGGCAGATCCTGGACTGGTGTGGGGAGGCCTTCGAGGGCGTCGTATCCTGCTGGGGGCAGTCAGGGGAGGGGAGGGCCAGATGGGGGTCGGAGGGGAGGGGAGGGGTGGGAGTCAGAGACTGCTGGTGTCTTCAGCACCCAGCTGAACAATCTGCGTGCAACAATCTACGAAACAGTGATAATGCTGAGATCACCCCTCGCTGAGCTGTGGCGTGGCGGCGGGGCCGGCTGTTTAATTTGTATTCTCCCAGTTTTCCTTTCTCAGCCTGCTTTCCTGGAACTTGCTTTCTTTTGTCTTAAAATATTAAGAATATGGCCAGGCCAGGTGGCTCACACTTGTAATCCCAGCACTTTGGGAAGCCAAGGTGGGTGAATCATGAGGTCAGGAGTTTGAGACTACCCTGGCCAACCCAGGAGGCTGAGTCAGGAAAATCACTTGAACCCGAGAGGCGGAGGTGGCAGTGAGACGAGATCGCGCCACTGCACTCCAGCCTGGGTGACAGAGCAGGACTGCGTCTCGTCTAAAAAAAAAAAAAAAAAAAAATTGTTTTCTAGTTTTTTTGTTTGTTTTTGACACGGAGTCTCATTGTTCCCCAGGCTGGAGTGCGGGGGCGCAATCTCGGCTCACGGCACCTTCAACCTCCTGAGCACAGTGATTTCCCCTGCCTCAGCCTCTGAGCAGCTGGGATTACAGGTGCATGCCACCATGCCCACCTAACTATTGTATTTTTTGTAGAGGTGGGGTTTGGCCATGTCACCCAGGCTGGTCTCATGGGCTCAAGCCATCCTCCTTCCTCAGCCTCCCAAAGTGCTGGGATTATAGACATGAGCCACCACACCTGATCATCTTCTAGTTTAGGTAGATACATAATTATTTTCTTAGCAGGCAGGACTTTATTCCATAAAATAGAGTAAGTGTTCTCCAACATCATTTTTTAACACGGGCCACCATGATTTCAGTTGTAGAATAAGAATTAAAACAGAGAGGCCAGGTGTGGTGGCTCATGCCTGTAATCCCAACACTGGGAGGCCGAGTCAGGTGGATCACAGGGTCGAGAGTTCTAGTCCATCCCCGCCAATATGGTGAAACCCCATCTTTATACAAAAGTTACCCACGCATGGTGGCACACACCTGTAATCCCAGCTACTCAGGAGGCTGAGGCAGGAGAATCGCTTGAACCCGGGAGGCGGAGGCTGCAGTGAGCCAAGATTGCACTACTGCACCCCAGCTTGGGTGACAGAGTGAGACTCCATCTCAAAAACAAAAAAAAAAATTAGCTGGGCATGGTGGTGCACGCCTGTAATCCCAGCTACTCAGGAGGCTGAGGCAGAAGAATTGCTTGAACCAGAGGAGTCGGAGGTTGCAGTGAGCCGAGATCATGCCACTGCGCTCCAGCCTAGTGACAGAGTGAGACTGTGTCTCAAAAAAAAAAAAAAAAGAATTAGGGCCAGGCATGGTGGCTCAGACCTGTAATCCCAGCACTTTGGGAGGCTGAGGTGGGCAGGTCACTTGAGGTCCCAGGAGTTTGAGACCGTCTGGCCAACCAAACGGCCAACCCCGTCTCTACCAAAACTACAAAAATTAGCCAGCTATGGTGGTGGCACCCACCTGTAGTCCCAGCTACTTGGGAGGCTGAAGCAGGAGAATCACTTGAACGTGAGCGGCAGAGTTTGCAGTGAACTGACATTGTGTCACTGCACTCCAGTCTGGGTGACAGAGCGAGACCCTGCCTCGAAAAAACAAACAAAAAACAGGTTCCAGGTACCCCCCTCCGATGGCAACATCCTGCAGTTTATGGAGCCCACCCTTCCTCGCCAGAGGCCCCGTCCTCGGTGCGTGGTGTTTAGAGTCTGGGAGGAGCCATCCCAGGCCACACCGATCTAGTGGTCGTGTGGGGGCCGCCCGCCCGCCGACCCCCGTGGTAGCCAGCTGTCACTCTGACCAGCTTCCCTTGTGGCGTTCTCAGCAGCATGGGCATTTGCCCCCCACCAGGAAGGTGGGGTCTTGCGTGGTCAGGACCCGGGCTCTTGGGGTCGCCCAGAACACTCCTTAACCCACGCGTGCCCCAGATCGTGTTCGACGAGTGTCACAAGGCCAAGAACGCCGGCTCCACCAAGATGGGCAAGGCCGTGCTGGACCTGCAGAACAAGCTGCCCCTGGCCCGCGTGGTCTATGCCAGCGCCACAGGTGGGGCAGTGCGGATCCCATGTGACCCACCCACAGCAACATCCGTCTGGCTGTCCCCGGGAAGGGGTATCCCTTACGCATGCTCAGCCTCCGTCTGCACCCTGCTCCTCCTCGGATGCTGGGGCATCTCTGCGCCTGTCCCAAGGCCACGCTGGCTGTCCCCAGGCCCATGGTTCCAACCCTGCGGGCCCCTCATCAGGCGGTCCCTACTTAGTTGGCCCCTGACCCGGCCCCTGGGCCCTCCTGGGTTGGGGAGCTGACGTCAGCTTCCTTCCACAGGTGCTTCTGAGCCTCGGAATATGATCTACATGAGCCGCTTAGGTATCTGGGGCGAGGGCACCCCCTTCCGGAACTTTGAGGAGTTCCTGCACGCCATCGAGAAGAGGTGAGTGCCCTTCCTGCCCACGTGGAGGGGCAGCGGGGGTTGGGGCACAGGCCCCAGGACCACCAGCCCAAGGCCTGGCACTGCCATGTGCGCTTCCCTGGCACCCAGAGGTGCTAAATGTGTGTCACTCGTTTCTCTGCCTAGGGCTGCCCAGCGCTCCCAGGGAAGCCAGCCCCTCAGCAGCCCCTCCTGCCCGCCCCCCGCCAGGGCTGGCTGCCAGCTGTCTCTGTGGCTGCCGGGGCTCTGCTCTGGCTGACCCTGCCCTCTCTGCAACTGGCTCTGCGTCGCGCTCCCCGGCGGCTCCATCCCCACGGCTCTAGTCGTGCTCACGGGGGCTGTGTCCATCCGCAGGGGCGTGGGCGCCATGGAGATCGTGGCCATGGACATGAAGGTCAGCGGCATGTACATCGCACGCCAGCTCAGCTTCTCCGGCGTCACCTTCCGCATTGAGGAGATCCCGCTGGCCCCAGCCTTCGAGCGCGTGTACAACCGCGCAGCCCTGCTGGTAAGCCTGGGCTCCCCACCCGGGGACCCCTGTGCATTTCCCGGGTGAAATTGCGCCCCCATGGCCTTGAAGATGCCACAGGCTTCATCAGGTGACGGCCCGCCCTGTCCTGTCACGGGATTGTTTTTGTTTTTGTTTTTTTGAGACAGAGTCTCGCACTGTCACCTAGGCTGGAATACAGTGGCACGATCTCAGCTCGCTGCAACCTCTGCCTCCCGGGTTCAAGCAATTCTCCCCGCTCAGCCTCTCGAGTAGCTGGGACTACAGGTGCCCGCCACCACGCCTGGCTAATTTTCTGTACTTTTTTAGTAGAAAACAGTGTTTCACCATGTTGGCCAGGCTGGTCTCGAACTCCTGACCACAAAGTGATCCGCCCGCCTCAGCCCCCCAAAGTGCTGGGATTACAGGTGTAAGCCACGTGCCCAGCCATCAGCGGGGTTTTTACGTGACTGTGATAACGAGGGGTGGGGCCAGACCACCACTTCCCCTTCCCGTGGTGCTCAAGCCCTTCGCTTCCAGGTCCTGGCCCATGGCTCGTAGCTGTGTTCAGCATCCACGTTGCTGTGGGCCACGTGGCTTGGTTATTCCCTCCGTATTTGGACAGGTCCTGTTTTCTCCTCCTCAAACCCAACAGCCCCGTGTGTTTGCTGCTGTTTTTCTTTTTTTCTTTTTTTTTTTTTTTTTGTTTGAGATGGAGTTTCCACTCTTGTGGCCCAGGCTGGAGTGCAATGGCATGATCTTGGCTCATCGCAACCTCCGCCTACTGGGTTCAAGCGATCCTCCTGCCTCTGCCTCCCACATAGCTGGGATTACAGGCATGTGCCACCACGCCCAGCTGATTTTGTATTTTTAGTAGAGACAGGGTTTCTCCATGTTGGTCAGGCTGATTGGTCTTGAACTGCCGACCTCTGGTGATCTGACTGCCTCAGCCTTTCAAAGTGTCGTGGTTACAGGCGTGAGGCACCGCGTCCAGCCAGTTCGCTGGTTTCTTTAGGTCACACGACCAGCATATCCCGTAGCCCCCAGGGCCGGGTTGCTCTCTGGGGTAGGGCCGTCCTGAGCACTTTGGCCAGAGTCCCAGCCACCCTAACCCAGCCCACCCAGTCCATGCCGGGACCAGCCCCCAAACCTGACAACCACTGCCGGCCCCAGACATGCCCAGTGTCCCCTGGACTGGATCACACCTGGGTGAGACCCTGGTGGAAAACAGAGGCGTGGCTGCGAGCACCATGTGTTGTTGGGAGGAGCTGAGCCTGTTTGCCGCGGGCGCTGAGTCTGTGCCGTTTGCAGCACAACTTCCCTACCACTGGTGTTTTGGTTTTTCAGGTTTTTACTGTACAGGTAGAGGTGGTGCCTCTTACATTGCACACCCCCAGCACCCCCATCTTGCCCTAAATTCCACCAGGCGTGGGGATGCTTTGCCCAGGGCTGGCAGCAAGTGGGCCGGGGCCCTGGGCCAGGAGCCAGGAGCCAGAGCTCAGGGGCACCGTGTCATGTCATTGCAGTGGGCTGAGGCCCTGAACGTGTTCCAGCAGGCGGCCGACTGGATCGGCCTGGAGTCACGCAAGTCCCTGTGGGGCCAATTCTGGTCAGCGCACCAGCGCTTCTTCAAGTATCTGTGCATCGCCGCCAAGGTGCGCCGGCTGGTGGAGCTGGCCCGAGAGGAGCTGGCGCGAGACAAGGTGAGCGGTTGCGGCCTTCGACCTTTGAGGGCTGAGGGCGGCCAGGCCTGCAGGGGAGGGGGCTGCTCTTCTGCCTGGTCCTTCCTGGCCCCTCCCTAGACGTGGATGGGGGCTGCACCCTGGTAGGCGAGAGATGCTCAGATGTCCGTCCTCCAATCTGAGCCAGCCAGGGTGTCGGAACACCGGAGCGCAGACAGTGACCACACGGTGGGCAGCTCACCATCCCGAGACAGGAAGCCAGCAGACCCCCACCCAGCAGTGTGTGTTGTGGGTGGGCCAGGGCCCCTCCTGGGGAGGCGAGCACAGGGGCAGAGTGAGGGATGTGGCTGTCACCCGTGGCCTGGCTGCTTCCTCTGCCGTCCCACAGTGCGTGGTCATAGCAGGGCTGGTGGCTCACGGTCCTCTGCCGTCCCACAGTGCGTGGTCATAGCAGGGCTGGTGGCTCACAGTCCTCTGCTGTCCTACAGTGTGTGGTCATCGGGCTGCAGTCCACAGGCGAGGCACGCACACGGGAGGTGCTGGGGGAGAACGACGGGCACCTCGACTGCTTTGTCTCGGCCGCTGAGTAAGTGTCATGGTGGGGACGGGACTGCGGGATTCCTGCGCTCGTGGCCATCCCTCTTTGTGGCCACCTGCTGCCTGTCCCTGCCCCTCGGCCCCAGCAGCAGGAGGTGCTGGGGTGGGCTTTGCTTAGCCTTGGCCGCAGAGACCTTCAGCTCTGCTCCAGGTCTAAAGCAGAGGCGTGGAGGTGGACCCCAGGCGGTTTGGGACATGGTCTCCAAGGGTCTTAGAAGGAAGCTTCCTGCACCCATGCCATTTTAACAAGGGTTCTGTGGATTTTAGGGGCTGGCCCTCCCAGCTCCCTGAAGCCCCAGCCTCTCCCCTGGGGGTTGAGAATGCCCTGGGAGGGTCACGGCAGCCCCCCTACCTCCCCCCATTGCCTGGGGGTCAGAGCTTCCCAATGCCTGGTATATACCTTGTCTGGGAGCCCCTAGCTGCCCCCTCACCCTACCCCTTACCCCCATCCTGGGAGCCGTCATCATATCCGGCCACATTCCTCAGAGCAGGGGAAGCCTGGGGGGCTGAGGTGGGCCTGTGACACCAGCAGACCGAAGGAGAGCTCACAGGCAGCCCCCAGCCCTCCCCAGCCCACTCCCCACGGGAGACCCTCTGCCCAGGATCGGCCCTCTCCGGGACCCCCACAGGGACCCAGGGGTGCGTCCAGCTTCCAGAGAGCATCCCCACCGGCCTCCGCCCCTCGTGTGAGAATAAACTCCGCGTCTCACTTTCAGAGGCGTGTTCCTGTCGCTAATTCAGAAGCACTTTCCATCCACCAAGAGAAAGCGGGACAGAGGAGTGGGCAGCAAGCGGAAACGTAAGCCGGGCGCCCCACGGCCCCACCCACTCCTGCCCTCCGCTTTCTCCCTCCTCCGTAATCAGCCCTGGGATGGCAGGTGGCAAGGCTCAGAGAGGCCAAGTAGCTCACCCAAGGCCACGCAGCCATACCTGAGGGGCTGAGCCGGGACCACCCGGGGCTGCAGAGGTCCAGCCCCACTGCTTGCTCCCACCCCCTCCCACCTTCCATTTTCAGGGTCTCCACGGCCCCTTCGGGAGCCCATTGATAACACCCAGGCTGCTGTCACAGGGAAGCCTAGAGCTGCCTGTCGAGGTCTGGTGTGCGGCCTCCCCAGGCACCCCGCGTATCCACCACACTAGCCACGTCTGAAAGGACCTTAGATGTGGGTTTTTTTTTTTTTTTTTTTTTTTTTTTGAGACAGAGTCTGGCTCTGTCACCCTGGCTGGAGTGCAGTGGCCGGATCCCAGCTCAGTGCAAGCTCCGCCTCCCGAACTTACACCATTCTCCTACCTCAGCCTCCGGAGTAGCTAGGACTACAGGCGCCCGCCACATCGCCTGGTTAGTTTTTTGTATTTTTTTTTAGTAGAGACGGGGTTTCAACGTGTTAGCCAGGATGGTCTCGATCTCCTGACCTCATGATCCGCCCATCTCGGCCTCCCAAAGTGCTGGGATTACAGGCTTGAGCCACCGCGCCCGGCCTGGATGTGCGTTTATTAATACTATCCTCTTTGCCAGGCACTATGGCTCACGCCTGTAATCCCAGCACTTTGGGAGGCTGAGGTGGGTGGATCACCTGAGGTCAGGAGTTTAAGACCAGCCTGGCCAACATGGTGAGACCTTGTCTCTACTAAAAATACAAAAAATAGCCGGGCGTGGTGGCGCATGCCTGTAATCCCAGCTACTTGGGAGGCTGAGGTAGGGGAATCACTTGAACCTTGGAGGTGAAGGTTGCAGTGAGCTGAGATCACGCCAGTGTACTCCAACTTGGGTGACAGAGAAAGACTCTGTCTCAAAAAAATTAATAAAAATAAAATATTGGCCAGGCACAATGGGTCACGCCTGTTGTAATCCCAGCAGGAGGCTGAGGCAGGCACATCACCTGAGGCCGGGATTTTCAGACCAGCCTGGCCAACATGGTGAAACTCCATCTCTACTAAAAATAGAAAAATTAGCCAGGTATGGTGGTGCATGCTTATAATCCCAGCTATTCAGGAGACTGAGGCAGGAAAATTGCTTGAACCCAGGAGGTGGAGGTTGCAGTGAGCTGAGATTGCATCGCTGCACTCCAGCGGGGGCAACAGAGTGAAACTCCATCTCAAAAATAAATAAGCCGGGCGCAGTGGCTCACACCTGTACTCCCAGCACTTTGGGAGGCTGAGGCAGGCAGATCACAAGGTCAGGAGATTGACACCAGCCTGGCCAACATGGTGAAACCCTGTCTCTACTAAAATACAAAAAATTAGCCGGGCGTGGTGGTGCACGCCTGTAATCCCAGCTACCTGGGAGGCTGAGGCAGGAGAATCGCTTGAACACGGGAGGCGGAGAGTGCAGTGAGCTGCCACTGCACTCCACCCTGGCGACAGAGCGAGACTCTCTCAAAGCAAAATATTGCCCCCTTACACCACGCCCTCCTGGCCACAGGGTTCCTAAGAGGGCGTCCCCGGAGAACAGCTGAGCTGCCTGCCCAGAGGCCAGGGGGTCTCGGATGGACCTCCCCAGCTCGGACCACCGGCCTTGCTCTGTCCTGCTGCGTCTCCTCCACGTGCTCCTCTACCCTGCTGTGGTCTGGCCCTCAGTGACCCTGTCCTTCCCTGCAGGGCGACCTCGGGGACGCGGGGCCAAAGCCCCCCGGCTGGCATGCGAGGCGGCAGGCATCATCCGCATCAGTGATGACAGCAGCACCGAGTCAGACCCCGGCCTGGACAGCGACTTCAACTCCTCTCCCGAGTCCCTGATGGATGACGATGTGGTCATCGTTGATGCCATTGGGCTCCCCAGTGATGACCGGGGTGAGGGCTCGCCCAACTGGCCAGCCACCTGTGGGTCAGGATTCTAGTGCGAGGCTCCCCCGGCCTCCTGGCGGTCACCACCTACCCCAGGTTGTAGCCCTCGGTCCAGCCCACCTGAGCCCAGCTGCTGCTATGGTGCCCACTTTACAGTTGGGGGAAACTGAGGCCCAGAGAGGGGAGGTCAGGGGTTACACCACTGGTCAGAGGCAGAGCTGGGGCTCGGGGCTGGGCAGTCCCCACTCCTGTGGAGGCAGTGTGGTCCCCGATAGGAGGCTTAGTTTTGCCTTAGCTGGTCTCAGGGAGACAAGCGCAGAAAAGCAGTCCTGGGCCATGGTGCTGGGCTTCCCTGCCACCTTGCCGTCCCTCAGGGCTGCCCCAAGGCCCCTTGTCCTTGCTCTGCAGGGGCCAGCCTTGAGTTAGGTGGGCCCTAGAAGGGAGCCGACATGTCCTGCCCTGACCCTTCACGTCCTCCCTAGGACCCCTGTGCCTCCCTCAGAGAGACCCGCATGGCCCCGGGGTCCTGGAGCGGGTGGAGCGACTGAAGCAGGATCTGCTGGAGAAAGTGCGGCGGCTGGGGCGGGAGCTGCCGGTCAACACCCTGGACGAGCTCATCGACCAGCTTGGCGGCCCCCAGCGGGTGGCGGAGGTGGGTGGGACAGCAGCTGGAGTAGGTGGTGGGTGGGGTGTGGGCAGTGGGCGGGGCTTCACCTGGGCTTTGCGCGGCTCTGGTGGCCCCTGCTGGTCACTCTGCGTCACCGCGGCCCTGCGAGGAGGGGGCCTTCCGGGAGCCCAGGGGGCGGAAGGTGGGGGCAGTAGCATCCTGTCCAGCTCGGCCAGGGAGGCCACGACCTCCTGTGGAGGGTTTCCTCCCCCATCCCTCTAAGTGCCAGATCCCCCAGCCTGGCCTGCGCTGGTCTCTGCTTAGACCACTGCCTGAACGCACCCCTGGGGTGCCCGGGGCCAGGACTCAAGCCCCTGGGCCTGACTTTGCGGCCTCCTCCCTGCCCAGCTTCACTTTTTCACTCCGTGGTGCTGGCTGGCTGATAATACCAGGCCTTGGACGGGCACACATCGCCTGGGTCCATCAGTCCCCCCTCCCTCTCCCAGGGCCCCCTCCCCACATCCACAGCTGGGAGCCCACGACCACTGTGGGACATAGGGAAGCTGAGACACGGGTGGCCAGACTCCTGCAAGGCCACAACACTGACGGCCGGTTTTGTCCCTGTCCCGGCCGCAGATGACCGGCAGGAAAGGCCGCGTGGTGTCCAGGCCCGACGGGACGGTGGCCTTCGAGTCGCGGGCAGAGCAGGGTCTGTCCATCGACCACGTGAACCTCAGGGAGAAGCAGCGCTTCATGAGCGGCGAGAAGGTGTGGGGCCGCAGTGCACTGGGCGCGGCCCGCGGGACCCAGGAGGCACAGAGGGGCCCAAGGGTTCCCGGGGACTGCGGACCCGCGCACTTCTGCGAGTGTGTGTGTGCCAGGTGCGGGCGCGAGTGGCCGTGTGATGGGTGGTGTCCGCGCCGCATAGGCCTCTCGCTGCCCCTGGATGTCCTGGTGACCTGGAGTTGGGGCCGAGAGGGTGAGGAGGCGGCGGCAGCGTTGGGGCGGGCCTGGCACCAACCGTGTCCCGGTCCCTTCCGCCCTCCCAGCTCGTGGCCATCATCTCGGAGGCCTCCAGCTCGGGTGTCTCCCTCCAAGCTGACCGCCGCGTCCAGAACCAGCGGCGCCGTGTGCACATGACCTTGGAGCTGCCCTGGAGCGCCGACCGTGCCATCCAGCAGTTCGGTGAGTCCGGCCCCGCCCCCAGCGCTACCTGGCCCCGCCCCCAACGTGGTCTCGGCCCCGCCCCCACCTGGCCGGACCCTGAGAGCCGCTTTGTTCCCAGGCCGCACCCACCGGTCCAACCAGGTCTCTGCGCCAGAGTACGTCTTCCTCATCTCGGAGCTGGCGGGGGAGCGCCGGTTCGCCTCCATTGTGGCCAAGCGCCTGGAGAGTCTGGTGAGCAGGTGGGGGCTGGGTTGAGAACCAGGGACAGGCCCAGGAAGGCTCTGCAAAGCTTTGTGGGGGGCCAGAGGCCAGACCCCAGGTGACCAACCGATGACCTTCCCCACCCCTTGCAGGGGGCCCTGACCCATGGAGACCGCCGCGCCACGGAGTCCCGTGACCTCAGCAAGTACAACTTTGAGAACAAGGTACTGCAGGGAAGGTGGGGCTGGGGGAGGCAGGGTCAGGGGTCTAGGGAGGGCCGGATCTAAGAGCTGGGGGAGGGAGTAGATGGGGGCTGGGGGAGGCGGGGCCCAGGGTTCTGGGGGAGGGCCTAGTCTAGGACTCCCGGGGAGGAGGTGGCTGAGAGCTGAGGGAGGTGGGGTCTAGGAGTCTAGGGGAGGGTAGGGGCCAGGGGCCTAAGCAAGGGTGGGGTTCTAGGGAGGCAGGAGTCCAGGGGAGGCCGGCTTCCTCCCGGGGCCTCCTTCGCCACTCACCCTCTCCCCGTAGTATGGCACCCGGGCCCTGCACTGTGTCCTTACCACCATCCTGAGCCAGACAGAGAACAAAGTGCCTGTGCCCCAGGGATATCCTGGAGGGGTCTCCACCTTCTTCCGAGGTAAGCTGGGCCCGTGGGGGTCTTCCCTGGGGGGGCAGGGGCTCCAGAGCAGCTGGGGCAGCAGACTTGGTAGGCCGGTTGTGTGTCGAGAGATCTCCTGCCACATACACGGAGCGGGCTGTGAAGGCAAAGGGAGCCAAGGCGGCCCCCAGCAGCCACCGGGTGCGTTTCTAGGGCAGCCGAGGGGCCTGGGATTTGAATTTATTCCCCAAGAACGTGCTGTTCTCACTCCTGTCAGTCAGGCAACAGGCTCCACTCCTAGCCCTAGGCCTCAGCTGCTCCCCAGGCCCCCCAGAGAGCGGCTGGTCTCTGGGAAAGGAGCTAGGGCCCTTGCGGGAGGGGCAGGGTTGGGAGGACCAGCATGTGAGGCCCCTCTCCCCGCAGACATGAAGCAGGGCCTGCTGTCCGTGGGCATTGGCGGCCGGGAGTCCCGAAATGGCTGCCTGGACGTGGAGAAGGGTGAGTGCCCCACACCTAGGCCCAGAGACGCTCCCGTCTCGTCTCATGCAACCTTGGCCCCACGTGGGGAGCAACGAGGGGAGCAGGGACTCCCAGCATAGCCTGAGGCTTGGCTCCCTCCACTGTCAGACTGTTCCATCACCAAGTTCCTGAATCGCATCTTGGGGCTGGAGGTGTACAAGCAGAACGCCCTGTTCCAGTATTTCTCAGACACCTTCGACCACCTCATCGAGATGGACAAGCGGGAGGGCAAATATGACATGGGCATCCTGGGTGAGCACGGGCACCGGGGGACTTGGGTGGGTGTGGGCGAGGGGCTCGGTGAGAACACTGGGCATCCTGGGTGGGCACGGAGCTCGTGGGAACACTGGGCATTGTGGGTGAGCATGGGGAGGGCCTAGGTGGGCAAGGGGCTGATGGGAGCACTGTGCATTCTGGGTGAGCCAGGGTGCTGGGTGGGCCTGGGCAGGCGCGGGCACGGAGCTCATGGGATCGCCGTGCAGCTCTGTGGACGGTGCTCAGGCTGGTGCACACCATGCTCATCCCCAGGCTCCACGGGGCGCCTGCTACATCATTGTGAACCAAAGGCCAGCGAGCCTATGCTTTCAGCCTCATGGGGCCAGGCCTGTCCATCAGGACCACTTCCCTGTGTCCAGACGAGGGTCAGGGCAGGGCCACAGATACTTCGATCATGAGCAGTGCCACAGCCCACCAGGCTCCCACGATCCCCCACAGCCTGCTCAGGATCACCCAGCACCTGAGCAGCCCCTAGGCTCCCACAGTCCCCCCACAGCCTGCTTGGGGTTACCTTGACCTGAGCGGTTGCCAGGCTGGGGCCCATGTGTACCATCCCTACGCTGGGCCAGGTCAGGCCAGGCTCCAGGACACCGTCCCCTGTGCTCTCCGGGGGTCGTCTCTAGGCTGCACCCGGGCTACTGGACTGACCCTGGCCCCAGCCCGCAGTCCCAGGCCCGGACACCACTCACCCTCCACCCACCCCTCCTAGACCTTGCTCCCGGTATCGAGGAGATCTACGAGGAGAGCCAGCAGGTGTTCCTGGCTCCTGGGCACCCGCAGGACGGGCAGGTGGTTTTCTACAAGGTCAGCAGGAAGCCCCCCAGCCCCTCACACACTGCCCACCCTGCCCCCACCACACTCACACCCCGCCCTTGCCGTGGCAGATCAGCGTGGACCGCGGCCTGAAGTGGGAGGACGCCGTTGCCAAGTCATTGGAGCTGACGGGCCCCTATGACGGCTTCTACCTCTCCTACAAGGTGGGGTCGGGCGGGGTTACCCCCCCCCGCAGAGGAGGGCCCACGGGGTCGGACCTGAGCGCGGCCTCAACACCCTCCTCCGCAGGTCCGCGGTAACAAACCCAGCTGCCTGCTGGCGGAGCAGAACCGCGGCCAGCTCTTCACGGTGTACAAGCCCAATATCGGCCGGCAGAGTCAGCTGGAGGCCCTGGACAGCCTCCGCCGCAAGTTCCACCGGGTAGGCGGCCGCGGGGCGCAGCTTTCCCTCGGGCTGCCGGCCCTGGCCCCGCCGAGGCTCATGCGGTCTTGTGTCCCCAGGTCACCGCGGAGGAGGCCAAGGAGCCCTGGGAGAGTGGCTACACCTTGTCGCTGACGCACTGCAGCCACAGCGCCTGGTGAGGGCGGGCCGGGGACCGGGGGAAACCCGCAGATGGCGGTGATCCAGGCAGGGATCGGGGGGCTCCCGAGACTCTGAGAGGAGGCCGGAAACCTCAGGGCACCTGGGGAGCCTGCGGGCCCCTGGGACCCGCCTGAGCCGAGCTACCCGTCCCGTCCGCAGGAACCGGCACTGCCGGCTGGCGCAGGAGGGTAAGGATTGCCTGCAGGGGCTGCGGCTGCGGCACCACTACATGCTGTGCGGCGCGCTGCTGCGCGTGTGGGGCCGCATCGCCGCCGTCATGGCCGACGTCAGCAGCAGCAGCTACCTGCAGATCGTGCGGCTGAAGACCAAGGACAGGAAGAAGCAAGTGGGTGAGTGGGCGGCGGGCGCCCCAGGAAGGCCCGAGCCCCCGGCCCCGGCCCTGACATCGCCGCTCCGCCCGCAGGCATCAAGATCCCCGAGGGCTGCGTGCGCCGCGTGCTACAGGAGCTGCGGCTGATGGATGCCGACGTGAAGCGCAGGCAGGCGCGCGCCCTGGGCTGCCCCGTCCCGCCCGCCCCGCGGCCGCTGGCGCTGCCCTGCGGCCCCGGAGAGGTGCTGGACCTCACCTACAGCCCCCCGGCCGAGGCATTCCCGCCGCCCCCGCACTTCTCCTTCCCGGCGCCGCTGCCCCTGGACACCGGCCCCGGCCTGGTGCCGCTGGGCGCCCCGGACGCCCAGGCTGACCCTGCGGCCCTCGCGCACCAGGGCTGTGACATCAACTTCAAGGAGGTGCTGGAGGACATGCTGCGCTCGCTGCACGCGGGGCCGCCCCCCGAGGGCGCGCTGGGGGAGGGCGCGGGGGCGGGGGGCTTGGCGGGCGGCGGTCCCGAGCGGCAGAGTGTGATCCAGTTCAGCCCACCCTTCCCCGGCACCCAGGCTCCTCTCTGACACGCCTTTAAGCGAAACATGCCCCAAGTCACAGGGACCGTTTCTCCCCTAGGAGCAGCAGTGGGGACCAGGGCCAAGGTTCCCTGACCACTGCTCAGAGGAGCCCCAGGCCCCGGCCGCAGTGCCTTCCGCGCCCGACCCGGGCCCTCACCTATCAGCCCTGGCGGGGCCCACTCAGGACAGCTGGGGGCCGGGGCGACGCAGGGCCCTCTGTGCCTCTCTCCTCCCAAGTAGGAAGGGGCTCCGGGTGGCTGCTCTGGGACTCGGCACCCGCAAGGGCTCAGTGGGCCCAAACCCTTAAAATCCGTGAAACTGGGTGGTCCCAAGAGCTAGAAACTCAGGAAACCCCAGGTGCTCAGGGCCCCACGTCTCGGGGGCTCTGTGGGGCAGACCCCCGCTAATATATGCAATTCCCCCTCCCCTAGCCCTTCTCTGACCCCTAAGTTATTGCCTGCTCACCTCTCCCAGGCCTCAGGCCGTGGAGCTGGCAGGGTGGCGCCTGCGGTTTCTATGTATTTATAGCAAGTTCCGATGTACATATGTAAAGGACTTTTTTAAATATATGTGCCTTTTGCCTACTTCCCATGGAGTCTGCTCCTCAGCTTGCAGGACAGGGAGGGAAGAACGGGTGCGTGGGCATCCCCGGAGGCTCTTAGGTTACCAGGTCTCATTCCCTGTGCTGGCCCCCTGTGGATGAGGAGGGACAAGGGCTGGGAGAGACAGACCCCCTCAACCCTGTGTCTGGGGCAGGTCCCATGGACTGTCCATTCCAGACCCCCAGTGGGGACAGCTGGGATCAGCCACCGTAGTAGGCTGCAGTCCCTACAGCTGTGCAGGTAGGCAGCCAAGCCACGTCCAAACCGCCCCCCTGCACTGGGCCCCTGAATGGTGGCTGGTGCTGCTGTGCCAGCCCCTCCTGGCCTGTCCACCCCCAGCCCTCACGGAGGGACTCTGAACAGTAACCACCCAGCCACCCCCACACCCCCCAGCCAGGTGAGGCCCCAAGGGCAGATGCGGGTGCCCAACCCATCCCCACCACCAGGGTCACGCTGTTCCTCAGGCCTCTGTACTTCTGCTTTCTGGCTAGAGGAGGCCCCAGTAGCCACCTCCTAACGGGTTAAGACACGGGGCCAGGAAGAACAGCCACTTGAAATTATCTCCTCCAAGACTCGGCCCTACTGGGCCCTACCTGTGCACACCAGGCAGGGCTCCATGGATTAAGACCCCGGGCTTGGTGTCCAATGGGCCCAGATCTCACTGCACCCCAGCACCCCAGCCAGCACAGCCCCCAAGCCTGGAGGAAGAGGAGGCAACACTCCACCTTCATGGCATTCCCTGGCAGCTAACAGCAACTGGCCCTGACATGGAGGGGTGCCTGGCAAAAGGGCCCCCCCAAGCCCCTAGGCAGAAAGATCCAGCAGACCAATTTGTCTGTTTATTCCCATAAGGCAGCCAGGGGTGGGGGCGCCGAGCCAAGCCCAGCGGGCCACGGGACCTTCCTCCGGCGGGGTGCACGCTGGATTTTCGGGTCTGCCTCACCAGGAGCTGGTTTGCAGGCAGGCCGTCATGGGTGCCGGTGGAAGGCTCCGAGGGCGTGGGCAGGGGGCTCGGGCGGGGCCACACACTTGTGGAGCTAGAAATAGTGGGGCAGGTCCTTCTCTATCACCTGTCGGGGAGAAAAGCTGGGTCAGGGCAGCCAGCTCCCAAGCCCCTGCCCCAAGCAGCCTCCCTAGAGAAGACCTACCAGGGGTTCCTCCATGGGTCCATACCGCTTCACCACGGAGCCGTTCTTGTCAATGAGGAACTGTGGAGAGACAGTGTCTGAACTGTGGGGCACCGTGGGGGTGGCCCCCTGCAAGGGGCTGAGGCTGCCCTTCCTGCCCGCTGCCCATGTGGGCCAGGGCTGTGGTGGGGGGGAGCTGGTCCCCTACCCGCCACAGCCCCCTTACCTTGGTGAAGTTCCACTTGATGGCACTGGAAAAGAAGCACATGGGTGTAAGCGTCCCCAGCAGCCCCCCACGGGCCCACTAGCCATCCTGCCTCCAGGAGGCCACATGGACATGAGTGTCCCCAGCGGCCCCCCCACGCCCCCCCAGCCATCTTACCCCAGGAGGCCACGCAGTGTGAGGGTCCCAGCACCCCCACCTCAACCACCCCGAGCCATTCTTCCCCCAGGGAGGTGTGCGCATCCCAGCAGGCCCCCACACAGCCCCACCACCCCCCGCAGCCGTAATGTCCCCAGAGGTCACGCACTTTCCCAGGATGCCCTTGCCCTTGGGCTGGATCTTCATCCACTTCCACAGCGGGTGGGCGTCATCCCCGTTCACGCATATCTTGCTGAACATGTCGAATTTGACGTTGTAGCCCGCGGCGAACTCTTTGATCTCTTCGTTACTCCCTGGCTCCTGTGGCGGCCAAGGTGTGCTTGAGTGCGTCCGAGGCCTGGCACCTCCTCAGACCAGGCCCCCCGCACACTCCGAGGCCTTCTCCAGGCCGGAGCCCACCCTGACCCCCACCCATCGGCCTCTGCAGGCCCCGGGAACGCAGCAGCCGCCTACCTGCTTCCCGAACTGGTTACATGGGAAGGCCAGGATCCGCAAACCGCACTCAGCGTATCGGGCGTGCAGGTCGACAAGCTGAGTGTAGTTCACTTCGGTCTTGCCTCACTGGGAGGCCACGTTGGTGACGATGCACACGAACCCCCTGCAAGAGTCGGCGGGGGTCAAGCGCAGAAGAGCAGAGCCCCCTCCCAGGCCCCGGCCATGCGCCCCACCGCAGGCGAGCGCCCACCGGTACTTGTCCAGGTTAACCATGTGCCCGTCGATGTCCTTGGCGGAAAACTCGTGCATGGAGCGCGCACAGCGCCAGTCGTCCCGGGACGCGCACTGCAAGGCAAAGGGGGCTGAGCAGGGAGCATGGACGGGAGGCCGAGTCTGGCGCCCTGGGGCAGGAAGGGATGCGGAGCGGGTCGGTGGCGGGGACACCGGAGCCCTGAGGCCCTGAAAACCTGAACGCTCCTCCTCCTTTTTAAACGCACACACCGCCTTGTGCCTCTGGTCCCGTTTTACCGGAAACCCAGAGACCGAGAGAAGGTTCCAACCCCAAAAAGTGCCACAGCAGCAGGTGTGAGGGCCCCGCGCGCACCGGGTCCTGGGACTCGGGACATTCGTGGATCTCCGGTCCCAAGCTGCGGGGACAGGGCTCCTTCCGCCGGCGCCGCGCCCTCCTGCGCCTGCACGCTGGGGTCTTCCGCCGTCGAGGGGCTCGCGGCCGCCGTCTGCCCCGGCTCTGGCACCGCTGCCTGCGGCGCCTGGGGGAGCCTGCGCCCGCGCGGCCCATACCCGCCAGTCTCCCGCCCCGCCTGGTTCCCCCACCCCGAGCGCCGCTGCCGGGGACAAAGGCCCGGAGGCCGAAGTCAGGACTGTGCGACTGTGACGCCACCGCGCTAGGCCAAGCCGCGGGGGCGGGGCGGCGCCCGGGGGCGCGTGATCCGGGGTTTCCAGCCCACTGCACCCACAACCGCTCGGGCGCAACAGCCCCGCTCGGCCCGTAGACGCCCACCCGTGGCCCCCAACGGCCCAGCTCCGCCCCAGCCGTCCCGGACCCCGCCCCCTGCAAGCCGGGACCCCGACCCTGGCGCGCGCGCCCGCAACGGATTGGACGGCCGCTTCCCCGACCCCGACCCGCGCGCGTGGAACAGCCCCTTCCACTTCCCCGACCCCAGCCCGCGCGCTCGCAACGGCCTGGACAGCCCCTTCCCGGACCCCGACCCGCGCGCATTTGAACAGCCCCTTCCCCTTCCCCGAACCCAGCCCGCGTGCCCGCAACGGCCTGGAGGGCCGCGGAGCACGTCGCAGTGCGGTCACCCGCGTCCGCGCCCAGCCGGGGGTGGGGAGGGGGAGCCAACCAGACGCCCCCCACCAAGGTCACTGGAGCCCGAGGGTTCCCCGCGCCGGCGAGCGGAGACGGGGATCGCGCGCCCGCCCCAACGGTAACCGGGCAGGCAACAGCCTCGGCGCCCGCTCACCATGGTACCGGCGAGGCCAGGCGCGGCCAGCGCCCCACAGACCAGCGCCGGCTTCAGCAGGCGGCAAAGGCGGCCGAGGTTCATCGCGGCGGGGCTGGGAGCCAGCGGCTCCTCCCCTCGTCCAGCCGACCAATGGACGCGCGTCGGCTCTCCGCACCTCCCCACCCACGGCCACGCCCTCCGGAGCGCTCACTGGTCAGCCGCGTCGGTGTTGAGCGCTCGCGCCGATGCCAGCCAATGGGAGGTCGGAATGGGAAGAAGGCGGGGAAGGGGGCGGGACCGGACGTGCGGACTGTTGTCGGCGACTGCGCATGCTCGCTTGTGCACAGGCGGCCACGTCTACGCAGTCGACGCGTTGGGAGGCAGCGCACAGTCCTCCGGATGGTTGACCGCAGCGCGGCGGCAGGTCAGACAACTTGAGAATACTACTTAAGACTCGTCGAGGGCGTTTCTCCAACTCGCAGAAAAGTCTCCCCAACTCTTGTTTACCTTTTTTTTTTAAGAGACGGGGTCTTGCTGTGTTGCCCAAACTAAAGTGCAGTGGCACGATCAGGGCACACTGCAGCCGCGACCTCCCAGGCTCAAGCGAACCTCCCGCCTCTGCTTCCCGAGCAGCTGGGACAACAGGTTCATCCACCATTCCTGGCTAATTATGTGTTGCTTGAACATGGGGGTCTCTTACTATATTTGCCCTAGGCTGGTCTCAAACTCCTGACCTCAAGTGATCCTCCAGCCTCAAGCTTCCCCAGGATCCACGAAGGCATGAGCCACAGGCCCGGCCGGGGTTGCCTTTTTTTTTTTTTTTTTTTTTTGAGACAGAGTTTTGCTCTTTTGCCCAGGCTGGAGTGCAGTGGTGCGACCTCGTCTCACGGTGATCTCCGCCCACCGGATTCAATTTGAGACAGAGTTTTGCTCTTTTGCCCAGGCTGGAGTGCAGTGGTGCGACCTCGTCTCACCGCAGTCTCCGCCCACCGGGTTCAAGCGATTCTCCTGACTCAGCCTCCTGAGTAACTGGGATTACAGGAGCGAGCCACCACACCCAGCTAATTTTTTTGTATTTTTAGTAAAGACAGGGTTTCACCATGTTGGCCAGGCTGATCTCAAACTCCTGACCTCACGTAATGTGCCCGCCTCGGCCTCCCAAAGTGCTGGGATTACAGGTATGAGCCACCGAATCCGGCCGAGGGATTTGCCTTTTTAATGTAAATGAAACCAAATTGAGGTCTGCTCCTCATCACAGTCCCATCTTATGAGGGTGCCCAGAGAGGGCATGGGGGTGTCCCTGCCCTCACCCCTGCCATGGGTACAGGGGTGTCAGTGACTCCCCGCCCCTGGGTCTGGTTGCCGAGCCGCTTACATAACTTGTGGGCACTGGGACCTGACAGTCATAGAGACAGTTACCATTTAACTGAGAACCTGGAGTTTCCTGGGATCCCACCCCAGAGACAGCTGCCCACGCAGGGACGCGCAGTGTGTACTCAGAAAATAAACACGAGTCTGGAGGGTTTTCTTATGCTTCTAACATTACGAGGTATGGGCACACCCAGAGCCCATAC